AAATTTTTTGTTAAATTTTTTTTTAATTAATTTTTTTTATTAATGTTTCCTCTCTTTTTTGTCTCCTTCTCTCTTTGCACCCTTCAATAGGTTTTGGTGTCCACAGCTACTCTTGCCTGGGGTGTCAATTTACCGGCACACACCGTTATCATCAAGGGCACACAAGTTTACAATCCGGAAAAGGGTCGTTGGGTAGAATTGAGCGCACTGGACGTACTCCAGATGTTGGGTCGTGCCGGTCGCCCACAATACGATACCAAAGGCGAGGGTATACTCATCACAAATCACAGCGAATTGCAATTCTACCTTTCGTTGTTGAATCAGCAACTGCCCATMGAGTCACAATTCATTTCCAAAATGCCAGACATGCTGAATGCTGAAATCGTGCTGGGCACAGTGCAAAATCTGAAAGAYGCCGTACATTGGCTGGGCTATACCTATCTCTATATACGCATGCTGCGTAATCCCACGCTGTATGGCATCTCACACGATGCCATACGCGATGATTCGTTGCTGGAGCAGCATCGTGCGGATCTTATACACACCGCCGCTTTACATTTAGATCGCAGCGGTCTCGTGAAGTACGATCGCAAGAGCGGCCAATTCCAAGTGACCGAGTTGGGTCGCATAGCGTCGCATTACTATTGCACGCACGAAACTATGATGACATATAATCAATTGTTGAAGCAAACGCTCAGTGAGATCGAGTTATTCCGCGTCTTTTCACTCTCTTCGGAGTTCAAACACATTGCTGTRCGCGAAGAGGAGAAGCTGGAATTGCAAAAACTTATGGAACGTGTACCCATACCGATAAAAGAGTCCATGGAGGAGCATAGCGCCAAAGTGAATGTGTTGTTGCAAGCATATATATCGCAATTAAAACTGGAAGGATTCGCTTTAATGTCCGATATGGTATTCATAACGCAGTCGGCGTCRCGTTTAATGCGCGCCATCTTCGAAATTGTACTCTATCGCGGCTGGGCGCAGTTGGCYGACAAGACGTTGACGCTCTGTAAGATGATTGATCGCCGTATGTGGCAGTCTATGACGCCACTGCGACAATTCAAGAAGATGCCGGATGAGATAGCTAAGAAATTGGAGAAGAAGAACTTCCCATGGGAACGTCTGTACGATCTGGAGCCCAATGAGATTGGCGAGTTGATACGCGTGCCAAAGCTGGGCAAGACCATACATAAATTTGTCCACCAATTTCCAAAGTTGGAGCTATCCACACACATACAGCCTATAACGCGTGCCACGCTGCGCGTCGAGCTCACGATCACACCCGATTTCCAATGGGATGAGAAGGTGCATGGTTTATCCGAAGGCTTTTGGATACTTATTGAGGATGTTGACTCCGAAGTAATTTTGCATCATGAATTCTTTCTGCTGAAGGAGAAATATGCTTTAGATGAGCATCAAATCAAGTTCTTTGTGCCAGTCTTCGAACCGTTGCCACCGCAATATTTCTTGCGTATAGTCTCAGATCGTTGGATCGGTTCGGAAACACAATTGCCGGTCTCTTTTAGACATTTAATATTGCCCGAGAAAAATATGCCACCAACAGAGCTGCTTGATTTGCAACCGTTGCCCATTTCCGCGCTACGMAAACCGAAATTTGAGGAATTCTATGCCGAACGTTTCCCACAATTCAATCCCATACAAACGCAGGTTTTCAACGCCGTCTATAATAGTGACGACAATGTATTCGTGGGCGCACCCACGGGATCCGGTAAAATGACCATAGCCGAATTCGCCATAATGCGTTTGTTTTCACAGCAAGCCGAAGGTCGTTGCGTCTACTTGGTGTCGAAGGAAGCTCTGGCCGATCTTGTATTTGCCGATTGGCATGCTAAGTTCGGCGGTCTCTCACTCAAAGTAGTCAAGTTGACCGGTGAAACTGGTACCGATTTGAAACTGCTAGCCAAAGGTCAGATTATTGTTACCACCGCCGACAAGTGGGATGTGTTGTCGCGCCGTTGGAAGCAGCGCAAAAACGTGCAGGCRGTCAATCTCTTTATAGTCGATGAATTGCAATTGGTTGGTGGCGAAGACGGTCCCGTTTTGGAAGTCGTGTGTTCGCGCATGCGCTACATTTCGTCTCAAATTGAGAAACAGATTCGCATCGTCGCGCTCTCCTCCTCGTTAGCCGATGCGCGTGATGTCGCACAATGGCTCGGCTGCAACGCCAACGCYACATTTAATTTCCACCCGAGTGTGCGTCCCATACCATTAGAGTTGCACATTCAAGGCTACAGCATTACACACAACGCAACGCGCATTGCTTCCATGTCGAAGCCCGTATACAACGCGATCATCAAATACAGTCCACACAAGCCGGTTATCGTATTTGTTTCATCGCGCAAGCAAGCGCGTCTCACGGCAATTGATATACTTACGTACAGCGCTTCGGATATGCAGCCGAATCGTTTCTTCCATGCCGAAGAAGAGGACATCAAACCGTTCCTCGATCGTATGTCCGATAAAACGTTGAAAGAGACACTATCGCAGGGCGTTGCGTACATACATGAGGGTCTTACGGCCTCCGATCATCGCCTGGTTGAGCAGCTCTTCGACTCCGGCGCTGTGCAGGTGGCAGTTGTGGCACGCGATCTCTGCTGGGGCATGAGCATTTCGGCGCATTTGGTCATAATTATGGACACACAATTCTACAATGGCAAGAATCATTCCTATGAAGACTACCCCATAACTGATGTGCTGCAAATGATTGGACGTGCTAATCGTCCCATTGAAGACGCGGAYGCTAAGTGTGTACTGATGTGTCAATCATCCAAGAAGGATTTCTTCAAGAAATTCATCAATGAACCGTTACCGATCGAGAGTCACTTGGACCACCGTCTACACGATCACTTCAACGTGGAGGTGGTCACRAAAACCATCGAGAACAAACAGGATGCGGTCGATTATCTCACTTGGACGTTCTTATACAGGCGTCTCACACAAAATCCCAACTATTACAACTTACAGGGGGTTACACATCGTCATCTCTCTGATCACTTGTCCGAGTTGGTCGAAAATACACTCTCCGACCTAGAGCAATCTAAGTGTATTAGTATTGAGGACGATATGGACACGCTACCGTTGAATTTGGGCATGATCGCCGCTTATTACTACATTAACTACACAACAATCGGTAGGCGTGTGAAATATTTTTTTTAGAAATTTTGTTTTTTCACATTTTTCTTCTTTTTCTATTGTAGAACTCTTCAGTTTGTCATTGAATAGCAAAACTAAAGTTAGAGGTTTGCTCGAGATCATCTCATCGGCAGCAGAGTATGAGGACATTGTGGTGCGCCATCACGAAGAAAATATCCTGCGCACACTCTCTCAACGCTTGCCAAACAAATTGACTGGTCCAAACGATTCGGCACCAAAGTAAGTAGCTCCAGTTCAGTAGTGGTCCCCCTACTGATACCTGGGAAACCCAASAAGCTAGGGGAGTCTCGTCGTCCGATAACTCTACTTTCTCCATTATTGAAGACAATTGAATTTTTGCTACTCCCAATATTCACTCACCACCTAAATCTAGAATACCATCAAACATAAGTCCATTGCACAATGAGTTGCCCCTAACCAYCTCTTTGCATGCCCTACTTATAACACAYGTCTGACACCCTTCTCCTTTTGGTACAACCCCTTTGAAACARCAGGTTTCCTGGGTMTAACGTTGGAGCAGGGRCTAGATACCCTCTAGAACAACTTAACTAATGAACTCTTCTTTTCTTATACAGATTCAATGATCCGCATATTAAAACCAATTTGTTGTTGCAAGCGCATTTATCACGCCTACAGTTGGGCCCCGAACTACRGGGTGACACAGAACTAATTTTGAGCAAAGCTATACGCCTCATACAGGCCTGTGTGGAYGTGCTCAGTTCAAATGGTTGGCTCTCGCCGGCTGTGGCTGCCATGGAGTTGGCGCAAATGGTGACGCAAGCCATGTGGAGCAAGGACTCGTATTTGAAACAGTTGCCGCACTTTACGGCCGACATCATCAAGCGTTGCACAGAAAAGGTACAATTGCCGAATACGAAATTTTACTTAACTAATTTATTTTATGTATGTATGTATTTTGCAGAAAATCGAAACTGTTTTTGACATTATGGAGTTGGAGGATGATGACCGCACGCGACTGCTGCAATTGACTGACGCACAAATGGCCGACGTGGCACGTTTCTGTAACCGTTATCCAAACATCGAAATGAACTTCGAAGTGGTGGATAAAGATCGCATCAATTCCGGCTCCACGGTGAATGTGATTGTGCAACTGGAGCGTGAAGACGAAGTTACTGGGCCAGTTATTGCACCATTCTTTCCACAGGTATTTCAAGATTGTGTTTTTTCCTTTCAATTTCATTGATTTCTTAACTTATTTCTCTCACAGAAACGCGAGGAAGGCTGGTGGGTGGTCATTGGTGATCCAAAAACCAACTCATTGCTGTCCATTAAACGTCTGACGCTGCAGCAAAAGGCAAAAATAAAGTTAGATTTTGTGGCGCCCAGCCCCGGCCGACACGAGTACACGCTGTACTATATGAGCGATTCATATTTGGGCTGCGATCAGGAGTACAAGTTCTCCATTGAGGTTGGCGATTTTCAGTCGGAAAGTGAAAGCGAATCGGAATAAACGATTAATAATCGGTCTGCAATTAGTCTTAGTTCCATGTTTTTCGTAGATTTCTGCATAAATTTACATTTTGAAGTGTGCGCGTGTTGGTAATAAAGAAAGACAAATAAACCAATATCTTCAGTATTTATTTTTTTTATTTGTAAGCATAGCGCTGCGGCTACGTAATTTGAAATTCCTGTTTTTTTAACGAATGACGACAGCGTAAATAWGTAGATCGAAGTAATAGAATGAAAAATAAGAAAAAATATTTAATACACTTCACAAATAGTTAAGATTTCATACAAAAACTTGTTTTGAAACGGTTAGTTTGTATGGCAGCTATATRCTATAGTAGTCCGATCCGGACAATTTCTGCGGAGATTGTAGAGTTGCTTTAAACAATACCTCGAGCCAAATTTCGTGAACGTAACTCGACAAATTAAAAACTTTTTCATACAAAGATTGGATTTCGATTGTTCAGTTTGTATGACAGCAATACGCTATAGTGGTCCGATATCGGCGATTCCGACAAATGAGCAGCTTCTTGGGTAGRAAATGACATGCGCAAATTTTTCAGATCGATATCTCAAAAGCTAAGTGACTAGTTCGTTTCTACAAACAGACGAACGGAAATGGCAAAATCGATTCAGTTTGTCTCAGTGATCATTTATATATACATGCATATATTTTTAAAGGGTCTCCGACCTTTCCTCCTCGGTATTACAAACTTCATGGCAAACTTAATATACGCAGTTCAGGGTATAAAAAAATACTAATAAWTCTTTTTTAGTAAGAAAAGTCATTATATTTCAATAGAAATTTAAAAAYCTGTAAGCTCTAGTTTAAATCTTCGCAGAAATTCAGAAATATTAACATAATTGCACAAAWTATTTTAAGCATAGAGCATTATTTGCAGTTTTCCAAAATTTAGAGCTCTAAAGTTGACTGACAGACACCGATGACCCGCGGCTGTTGGCCTTATTTCCGTTGGGGCCATTAGCAAAGCTATTTGTGCTAGCAAAGTTAATCACCTGTCCATTTGGCAGCCTATAAACTTGGCTCATTGAAGCGCCGGCAGAGTTTTGCGGTCCAAAAGGACCAAACTGCGAAGCTTGTGTCAATGTGCCCGCTGAGGAGGCACCGAACTTGCCATTCGGACCAAAAGCGTTGAAGGCTTGGGAACCAGCATTGGCGGCCGCTGAGTTAGCGCCAAACGGTCCAAAATTAAAACTATTCGAATCAGATGCAGCAGTCGCCTGTGATTGCCCCGATTGTGGCATACGCTTCACACGCACATGTTCCAGCAATGATGCGSTGCTCAACGGCATAGCGAAGGGTATGCTGCGCACACGTCGCACTTGTGGCCGCAAATTCGTCTTTGGCTTGATATAGAGAGAAGACTCCACTAAGACTTCGTCGACAGCAGCGCCATTGATCGCTATGGCAGAGAAGGTAGTAAAATAATTGAATTAATATTGGAATTGTGTAGCTCGTTGCTTGCTACTCACGTAATGGCGCACTGGGTGTATTATCCTCGCTGACAACATTTAAAGTAGCCGCATTRACGCATGCTGCGCAGAGTACTAAGACAGCCGAAAAAGTTAGGAAACGCATAGCTCAATATTTTATGTATATGTTTTTGGTTTGAATTGCACACTCCGTTCACTAGCACTTCGCACATACAACGTCTCACAAATCGATCTTCACTAAACGCTGCTCAAACGCAGACTATTGCCTGAGTCACTGACTGAGCCGAAGATAACTCTCGACTTTTCAATTTGCCGCTAAAGGTAAGCGCTGAGCAGCTAAGCAAAGGTAGAAATGAGCGCAACAGTGGGCTAGAAAGCGTGCGATGTYAAAACGTACCAGATGCGGAAACTAATATTGGAATTATCCATTGTGTTTTTGAAATTTATAAATGAATAAGCCTAAAAATATGCTCTAATGCAAAAGTAACGTCTGGAAAAAAGAAGAAAAGTTAACTTTCGTTGCCTCGTTATCCTGAAATATCCTTCACAGGTGTATATTTCTTAAAATAAAGGATATAAAATTTTTTTTTTTTAAATTTGAACGTTCGGTTTGTATGACAGCTATATGCTATAGAAGTCCGATCGGAAAAAGTTCTTCAGCTATTATAGCGTTGGTTTGGACAATAATACATACAAAATTTCGTGAATATATCTCGTAAAATAAAAAAGTTACGAGWACTTCATTTTGAACGTGCAGTTTATATGCCAGCTATATGCTATAGTGGTCCGATCTGAATAATTTTTTCGAATAATGTATGTAAGCCTTGAAAAATAATCTATACCAAATTTCGTGAAGATATCTCGTCAAATAAAAAAGTTTTCCATACAAAAACTTAATTTTGAACGTTCGGTTTGTATGGCATGTACATACATATATGTCGCGCTTAAAATACAATTGTACTCGTGCTTACGACATAGRAACATATGTACATACATCAATGTACTGCGTGGACAATTTATTATTGAACTATTAACTCTTCCGACAGCTGGGGGAAGACCAAAATGCAAACTCGAGCAAATAAGCAGGCAATAGCCGAAATATAACATCGATCATTAATAGCCCAAACCAGAAAGCCACATAGATATATGTACATATGTACATATGTAGTTAAAAAATATGTACATATGTATAGTATATGTGTATATTTTTATAGGCAAAGAGCGACTCAGCGTTCAGCAAACAAGTTTTCGTAATTCATTTAGGGAGGAAACTAGTTTCTGGGTTTCCTTTGAAGACAGCGCTAAATGATCAAATAGCGCAGCATCTTAATTATATACACACATACAAGCTGTCAATTCTTRAAAATTAAGTAAACATATGATAGAGAGGGAGGCGCGAAATGTGAGAGCCAAAAGAGCACARACATGGATTGAAATGATAAGAGCACAAGCAAAGAGAACGGAAACAGAAGTGAGGATATAAAAYAAATTTAAGCCGTTAAATTCAAAATAGTTACAAAAGGTTGCAAATTTATCATATAAACAAGAAAAMCCATTAACTTCGCTTCACAAATGGAAAAGATACCACAGAACTGGATTTTGAGCGGCCAGTTTGTATGACAGCTATGTCCTATAGTKATCCGATTTGAACAATTTCTGCGGAGTTTGTGGAGTTACCTTGGACATTAATATATGCCAAATTTTGTAAAGATATCTTGTTAAATAAAAAAGTTTTCCATACAAGGACTGGATTTTGATCCTTCAGTTTGTATAGCAGCTATATGCTATAGTGATCCGATATCGACGATTTCGACAAATGAGTAAMTTCTTGGGTAGAAAAGRGCGTATGCAAATCGGGCGTATYACAGCGATATCTCAACTGTGAGACTAGTTCGCATATAGTTGTACGCTTAATATACCCAGTTCAGGGTATTAAAATAAAATAGACTTATTTTCATACACCCTGTTTGATATTCATGTATAGCTTTATTTGGACTTAATTCAAAAATGTATTTATTTGTAATAAGAGCAAAACAGTGCGACTTTGCTGAATGTAYGTATATAAACATCTATATACATAAATACATATAACAAAGTCACAGAATTCAAATTTTGTTTGGTTGCTGTCGATATTACACATAGTTTTGTTGTTTTAATTGATATAACAATTACATGTATATATGTACATATGTATGAGAGAGCGTGTCCATACACATATGTATGTATGTATATAACACTAATCGACGTAAACGTATTTATTGATTGGCTGAACAAAGTGCAATGTGAAATTATCAYATTACATATTTACTAGAGTACCAAGAGTACACAAAATTTACATAAATTTGCAAGGAAAATCTGTAACCATTGGTACTGCTAATACTAATGCTAATGTATATGTATTGTGTATGTATATTTATATGAGCAAAAACTATGTAAAATACTCTTTATATAAATTAACCTGCTTCAATATATTGATCTATGTATTGTGTATATGTGTTGATATATGTATGCATATTTGTTAGCTGTTAATTCATTATTAATATTATTTATTAACACAAAATTCATTTCTTGGCTGAGATCGCTTAAATAAGACTACAAACATATGTTGAAGTTGGTTGTTTTATGTTATTTTCACTTTTAACCAGGGTTGCAAATAATGAATTAAAAAATAGTTGTATGGGCATTTGTATTTCGTTTTTTTTTGTAAAAGCAAATATCTTAATTAAAAAAGTTTTATCGCGAAAATATATGTAAATTAAAA